CAAAGGCTCACTCACCAAGATATTATCAGTGACATCAACTCTCAAGCTCACATCAGTTGCAAAAACTGTCTCACAGGAGCAAACAACAATGCCTCAATAGATTACAGAATTCTTAGTGAGGTGCTTGAGTGTCCATGCAGCCAGGGAGTGAAACAGCGTCAGGGTGGTCAGAGAGAAATCCGCCGGGCCCTGCCAAACAGCTGCAAGCTCCCCGGGCCCTGCCAAGCAAGGGAGCTGTTCTCTTCACACCTTCGTGCCATCCACACCTACTGCACAGACCCCAGCAGTGCACAGCCCTTGCCAGCCGAGCAGATGCCAGGGTCGGCGTCTTGTTTGTGCGATCATGTACCTTGGGTGCGGGCTCCCGGCCTCACTCCTGAGGCGGTGCATGGGGAATGCAGCCCCTCTGGGAGGCACAGTGTCTGTACATGGTGACTACTGATCACTTCTCCCACCTGGTATTGGGCATGTGTGGTCATCCCAATTGCCCTTGGTCTTTGGGCGTTAACGTGGTGTGTGAAGCCTGGAGGACAGCACACATGAGCTATGTGGCAGCTCTTATGCACCAGCAGGCACTCACAGGCCTGGTTGTCCCCTGGACATGTTGTCTCGGGGAGTCTGCACGAGGCCTTCCTGGGGAGGTCGGGGCAGGAGCCCGGGTGTCTGCATCCTTTCTGCCTTCCTGGGAATTTGCTACACACACTTCTCCAGTTGTACTCAGAGACCTAGTGGAGATTGTGTTATTAGTAAGCAGCCTGAACACGCACCAATGGCTACATGGGATGCTGGTGTCACAGGTGGCAGGCTTACCAGCTACCTCAGAGCTCTGTTCCCCATCCCTACCCTCAATCTTGATCTGTGACACTGCTTTCCAGTAAGCAGGACCAAAGCTCTTTGAAGAAATGGCCTGATTCTAGGAATGCAATGTGAAATCTGCAAGATGAGCTTGAGACATCTTACAGTGCAAGAAAGCAAGAAAATGCTTTGCAGATGATGGCATGTCATCCCAGTGCTTGTGCCCCCTCACTTGTGTGCAAGATCCAGATGAAGCTCCTGGCTCTGGCCTGGCCCACCGGGGCGTCGCTGCTGTCTGCGGTGTAGACCAGCAAGCAGAAGATCTGTCTCTCCCATCCCCTTCTCCCTGCAACTCTGATTTTGAAACAAATAAATGAATCCATCTTTAAAACAAGAAAAATGGACTCAGGAACCAACAGAAAGAGACGCAGTGGCCAAATCTGGAACGAGTGGAGCAGCAGAGCAGCACTGGATCGTAATGCGGAGTAGCGTCACCACCGTGAGTGCTGGCATGAGTGCTGCATGAACAGCGGAAGCAACACATCACTCGTGTAGAATTACTGCAAATACTGTTCTGCTGCATGCCCATGGTCGGATGTGGTGAATACTACGCTTCACCCCTGTGGTCGTCCGGCCAAGAGCACATGACCCAGCAGCACATGACGAAAGGCAGATCCCGCCGAATGAGCTCTCTGCCTGACCAGGCCAGTGTGAGAAACCATCACAGCCAGAAGCCTGAGGCCTGGGCCTGCGCTGGGGCTGGGGCAGAAAAGGGTGAGGTCTGAGTGCATTGGTCGAGTTGGTTTTTAGCCCTGACCAGCGCACCATGGGAACATCCAATGTTAACAAAGCGGACAGGGCCTGTGATGACTGTAAATCTTCACTGCTTCTCTGTAGACTCTTCTGTAACTGAGCAGCTGTTTTCATTAGAAGTTACTTAGTGTGATAGAAGATTCTGTGCATCTCTTTAGTTCACTCTCAACACACACAGAGTCTGGTTCCATTTTTATTCATTCCTTTCTATTAGACCAAGGTCCGATCTACTGGGTCTCTCCCAAAAGTCCAGCTAACCAGGACCTGGCCACTGGTGCCACCGACTGTAGCCCTCAGGGTCTGCATCAACTGGAAGTGGGGACGGAGAGGCGCCAGGCACAGGCCTCTGCAGGGCAGGAGGGCCTCATGGGATGTAAGACATACTTGACCAGTCTGTTGTGCATACTGACATGCACAGGAACTGGGGCTGAGAGTGGGCATGGTGGGGGTTATTGCAACTCCAACCAGGCTGCAGTTCCTGCTGGTTATGTGTGAAGGCCAAGTGTGTGGTGGACAGGGTTTGGCTGGGCTGCAGCATCCACTGGTTTGCGTGTGAGATAGGACTGGAGATAGAACTGACCAGGTGACTGAAACCGCCACTGTGTGTAGGTTGATATGGGCAATGAACTGAGCTGGACCCCATACTGGCTGGCACACGCAGGAGTCAGGGTCACTTCTGTTGTGGTTCCTTTGGGGACCCCATCCACAACTGGAACACAGGACTCAGAACTCCAACCACGGTGACAATCACAGGAGCTGTGCGCTGACCGTGGGGTACATGGGTCACAACTGGGCCTGCTCGGGTGCTGGAGCCTGTGCGGTGGACGGCACGCCCAGAAGCACATCGGGACATGACAGCTAGTTCATCGAGGCCTGCAGAGGACGTCCAGGACCACGGAGGGCAGAACAAACTGCACAGCTCTCCCAGTGAAGTTTTGACAGTGAGTAAAGACTCTAAGGTGCATGTGTCAACCAGTGGGCCTTGGGAGGATTTCCTCAACCTTGGAACAACAAAATCAACACCTCAGAACTACTGAACCACTAAGCAGTATTCTCAGAACAGGCTTCACACTGGGAACCCTGGGGTGAGATCCGGTGGCAGTCCCCAATTCCCAGATGCTAATGCAGTTGGGCTGCAGGGAGCAGTCCTCACCCCTTCTCTCCCTGCTTCCCCCAAAAATTGGAGGCAGCTGTCTCATCCACTTTCCCCTATTCCTTGACCCTTCCTACCATAATCGGTGTTCCACATGGGCATGCCTCCCTCTGAACTATGTAAACATCATCAAAAATAAAATGTATTATTTAAGACATAAAAATGGATGTTTAATTATCTAAAAAGGCTGTCTGCAAAGTCATGTAAAACTATGCATTTCAACTTAAGATTTCTGCTTTCAGGGGACAGTCCTGTTTCCTTTGCAAAGCAGCTTGTTTCATGTGCTGTGGGACGTGACTCTAGGAGTGGCATACTTATTTGCTGGTTGGCGTGACAACACACTGCTTCCCAGGCCGTGTACATTAATTATAGCTTTTGGGTGCATGCATTAATTACAGTCCAACTCGATGCTGGTTTGACGTGCTGTTGGCTAGGAACTGTTTTATCCAGACTTTGACACTGAACTTCTTAAAGTGAGCAATTGTATACATGTTTTTTATTAGATGGAAAGGTTTTTCTTTCCCTAGTTAGTCATCTTAGTATGATGTTTGTTGATCCTTTTCAATACGTTTTCTGATGAAGTGGTGTTTTTGTATATATATTCTGATACGATATGTTACACTAATGAGTTTTGGATTTTAAGCCATTTGCATTCCTAAGATAACTCTCACTTGGTATGATGTATAATCCTTTTCCTGTTACTGGATTCAGTGTGCTAATATTCTGATGGGGATCATCGTGTCCATAATTCTCAGGGATGTTGGCTTGTGTTTTTCTTTTCTTCTGGAGTCTGACTCTGGTCATCACAGGCCAAGCAGGCTCGTCCTGCCACCCTAGCTGTGCCTCTCAGGGTGTTGTACACGCAGAGTCCCCCAAGCGGGCTGCCTGCCCTGCCACCCTGGCTGTCCCTCTCAGGGTGTTGTACACGCAGAGTCCCCCAAGAAGCCTCACCTGGGCTGACCTCAGACTTGAGTCCAGTGTGTGCCAGGCAGTGCATGGTCAGGTGTGCCATGTCATCTGCACCAGCCAGCGCACGTACTGGTGGGTATAGCTGCCTGGTCAGTTCTGCCTCAGCCCTGTAACTCATGGGAACTGATGGGCGCTGTAGCCCAGCCCAGCCAGCCCAACACAGACCTGGTCCTCATGCACATCAGCAGGTACAGTGGCCTAGTCAGGGCAACGCCCAATAGCTCCCACCGAGGCTGCCTCAGCCCCGGGTTTTGCATGTGCCAGTTACAGCTGTGGCCTAGCCTGGCCCAGCCCACATCCCATCTGGCTCTTGGCTACACTCATGGGTGCTGGAGCTTAGCTCAGCCTACCTCACCCGCCCCCAGACCCAGCCCTCTCTTATGCTGACAGCTGCCACCTCCATGCCCATCCTGGCCTGCCTCCAGTCTTGGTTCTTGCGCTCACCAGTTGTAGGTACAACCAAGCAGGGGAGTGCTCACAATCCCCCTGCCTGACATGCTGCCAGCCTTGGATCTTGCATCTGCCAGGGGATACTATAGTCCAGCCTCACATGACTCACACCCAGTCCTAGCACTCTCCAGCTGGTGCTGTGGTTTAGTCCAGCTGGTCTGCACACATCTCCTCCTTTGGATTGGGTCATTTCTGTTGGTCCATCTTGATGTCTGCTTTGTGTGTACAGTCCCTCTTGTCAAGCTTATCCTGTGTGTATTTGCTACAAAGCATTGTGTGATTCTAACATGCATAAAACCTGAAAGTCACTGAATTAATATCTGCAGACCCACTCCAACAGTGAATATAATAATGTTTGTCTTAGCATGTCCCTAAGGAAGAGAAACCAAGGGGCTATCCTGGTGGCATAACAAGCTGATCCTCTGTCTGCAAGTGCTGGGATCCCATATGGGCACTGGCTCATGCCCTGACTACTCCAAAACCCTTCTAACTTTCCTGCTTGTGGCCTGGGAAATCAGTAGAGGGTGACTCAAAGCCTGGGGACCCTGCACACACATGGGAGAGAGCCAGAAGATGTTTCGTAAAATAATGCATTTTAAATACAGGCTCATTGTGCCATATCTAGGATGCAGCCCTGCTGCAGGGGCTCAGGCACTCAAGGTTCTACCACCCCTATGGGATTCCTAGCTGTGACCCAAGCCTGTTCCTAGCCACTGTGGGCAAAAGACAGAGAAAACCCACTTAAGATTGAAGTAATCAATTTTAATTTCTAAAAAATAAAAAGTATATTTCAACTGAAGCTTTCTTTTCTTGTTAACAGAATATCCAAGGTATCTCCAAGCACCCAATTCACATTGCTAAACCTCAGAATATTAAAGGTAACACCTCTTTTTCATGCTAAAATATTGAGTAGTGTTTTGGAAGCCTGGAAATGTTTGTAATTATGTTTTTATGTAACTAGCAGCTTCATTCTCCTGAGGTTTTCTTCTTTGTTTAAATGACCAGGACTTACACATTTTAAAAATTTAAAAAGAGCTAACATGAGGGAGTAACTGCCTTCCAGCAGTTTGCAAGTTAAAATAGATAATAATTATATAAGGAAAGTAACTTGCTTCCTACTATCTCTCCCCTCCCAACTTCCCTCAAAGAACACAGACACACGTAGAGACACACACACACAGGCACACCAAGACGGAGAAACACACACAGACAAACAGACATACACACACAGACACATATACAGTCACACACACACACAGGCACATGATGGCACTGGCTTTTCTTAAAGCTTGAAAATGACTGGAAGTGTTTGTCAGAGGACTTGAACACTTCTTTCTATTCTGCTGCGAGGCTGGTGGTCACGGCGCTGAACAGGGACAAGTTCTGTGTCTGGGCCGGTCAACATTCACTCGGCCGCCCCATGACCCTGCTCCGAGCACTGCCCTGAGATGGAGGCAAAGCGTGAAGCCTGTGGAGCAGTCCTTGCTCAGCCGGGCAGACCGCCCGTGGGAAGCAGTGATAAGCTGCTGTGCCTCAGTGGGCAGCCGGGTGTGGTCCCACGTCTCCCCCTCAGGGACGCCCAGACGGCCCCAGACGGCCCTCATTGAATGCTCTCTGGGAGCGATACTTGATGTTTTCTTCATGAAGAATATTCTAAATGAAATGAAACTTTCTAATAATGAAAATATAGTGGAATTCTAGGACTTACTTTTAAATAAAATATCAGAAAATAAAAACCTAGTGTTAAATAAAATATAATCAGAAAAAATGAAAAATCTAGGTTTTTACGTTATAATGATTTTAAAATAGTTGTGTCTAAGTATATGCAGGGTCTGCTCGTGCAAACTCACAATGTTCTCTCAAAATCACGGCTCAGGTGACGAAGATGAGATCCCCGCCATCTCCCCGAGGGCCATGTTGGTTTCTTCTGCGGGCCACAGCTTCCTGGCAGCAGGTACGTGCCAGCTGCGGACAGCAGGTGTCCCCATGGCCACCTCCTGGCTTCCACGCAGGTCAGATGCCAGGGACAGGACGTGGGTGATAGGGTCACTTGTCAAGGTGAATGTATTCCTGGAACTCTGGAATCTCCTAATGCCTGCATCCTGTCATGGGAAAAAACCCTGCTGTCTGAAACACCAGGAAGCAAACTGGAGATAGGAATGATCTTGGAGTTGTGGGAATTTCTGGGAAGGACAGTTACCTTCGAGGCGTGCTATTTCTGTCTACACTGAAGTGATAGGATTGGAATCCTGAGCTTTTGCATCGTAAATCTTTATTGAAGTAATTGGATCAGAATCCTAAACATTGTAAATCTTTACCTGCTCTGTCACTAAATAGCCCCCATTATGTATTTACCCAATATCATGTAGCTACTGATTTTCCCACAGATACTTGCTATAAAAACCCCACACTTATTTTGTTCAAGGCACTTCTTGTTCATGGCAAGAGATGACCACACACCTGGACATTACATAATAATCATTTCACTTGCCTTGGAGTCTCGTTCGATTTCATTGAACTCCAAAACTCATATGCTCAGAGGAGCCCTGAAACACATTGTCATGCAGTGTGGAGGGACAGGCCTGCTGTCTCCTTGTTCTCTCCCTCGACCCTCTGCCTGATGGCCCTCGGCCTGTCCTTGTGGTTCACTGACCCACAGCCACAGTGGTCACCCTGCCCCTCTTCCAGCATGGCAGCTGGCCCTGCCTCTCATTCCTGCTACTCAGCCCACTCCCCAGAGCAGCTGCCCTGTGTGCGTGGGCACCCGCACACATATGAGCAGATGCTCTGTCACCACATGACCTCACTCCATTGTCCCCATTTCACGTCCTGCCCACTGTCAGCCCCTCTGGGAGAAGGGCAGTGCAGGCCTTTTCTAGAGAGCTGCTTGCTGAATAAGGCTACTGGTCACCCTGAGGTGTGGCTAGCTCTTGGACTTCCAGCAGAGGGACTGGCACTGGCACTGAGGCCAGAGGGGCCCAGTAGATGAGGGGCAGGTGTTCGCCTTGACTCTGAGTAGGTAGCCACAATGAGGGGAGTTCCAGGTTAACACACAGCTCTGTCTGACAGACTTTTCACAGATCGAGTTGCGCATTCTTGCACATTTGTCTGGGGATGAGGAACTCCTGAAGTTATTCCAGGAACCGGAGGGAGATGACGTGTTTTCTACTCTGACCGCACAGTGGTAAGATGCAGGTGTTCACGATGCTGTCAGAGCTATGGGAGGGCGGACGTGACTTGAAAGCTTCGAGTGACTCCAAGGCGTGTTCATGAGAAGGAGTGTGCATGTTTCCTCTGAGCTGATGTCTGGGAAAGATCAGATAAGCAGACTGCCTGAGTGTCCTCATAGTGAAATTGCTGATGACTGCCACCAACAAAATAACAAGGTGTGACTCCGGAAAATGCACTAGACATGCAGGAAAATGCAAAGTGAAGCTCATATGCCTTCCAGGAGCGACCACAGAACCTCGGGTCACCTGCCCGCAGAGGCGAGCGCTGCCCTCTTACCCCCACCTGCCTGCAGAGGCAAGCGCTGCCCTCTGTGCCCCCACCTGCCTGCAGAGGCTGCCCTCTTACCCACACCTGCCTGCAGAGGCTGCCCTCTTACCCCCACCTGCCTGCAGAGGCTGCCCTCTTACCCCCACCTGCCTGCAGAGGCGAGCGCTGCCCTCTGTGCCCCCACCTTGCCCTTCAGTAGCAGGAGTACCCTGCTGCTCTGGAACCCCCTTCCTCCTTACTCCCCTGCTGCTCTCAGGGGTCACCCTAGTGATGTCACTTCTGACCCCACATCCTGGAGTGCCCAGTGCCTCCTTCCAAGCCTGTGTCCCTCTTCTAGGTTGATGTTTTCCTCTAGCTGCCTGCTCCCTTCTGCCCCCTCTCAGCTCCCCACCTCAGTGGGCCCTTCCTTCCCTCAGGCAGCACCTCTTGTGAGGTGCCCGTTTGAGGTCAGCTGAGTGTGCGAGCAAGCAGACCAGCTCTGCTGTGTCCCCTGCTGGACTCTGCTGGGCACGGGACTCAGGAAGGACCTGCCCATCAATGAGTTCGTAGTACAGGATTCAAGCAAGCAACTCTCCAAACATGCCGCCGCCATGAGACTCACATGAACCTGAAATTTTGGGGAAAGCATCTTACGTCAAGGTAGCAGAGAGAGCATGTCCTTGTAAACAGAGAAGGGTATGTGCCAGACCCCGGGTGGCCCTGGGCGGGGCTCAGTGTTAACACAGCCACCTAGAGCAGCCTCACCTAGAGCGGCCTCACCAGCTGGGTCCTGCCTGGGGTCCTCTTTCAGACCCAAGCTCCCATAGATGTGTCTCCAGGGAATCTTGTACCTTTCCCATGCTCTGTCCTCCCCTCAGCCCTGACCTGATCCTGCACCTGCCTGGGGTCCTCTTTCAGACCTGAACTCCCATGGATGTGTGCCTCGACCTCACTCCCACAGCTCCTCCAGGCACCCTCTGCCATGTGCCTGTGGCTTAGCCTGGCGTGTGGTGTCACTGGTCTCACTGCGCATTGGTCCCTAGGAAACATGTCTCCTGGCTTTCACCATTTCTTTGGCTTAGTGGCTAAGTCACCACTTGGGTTACCCGCATGTCGCTGGAGTCCGGCTCTGTTCCCCGTTCCAAGGAAGCAGCCATGTTAGGGTCACGTGGTTGGGTTCCTGCTGGGTTCCACAGCCGACGAGAGACTTGGAAAGTAGACTCCACAGAGTGGAATTCCATCCTTTACTGTCACTGTGTCGTATTTTAGACGTTGACTGCAGTGTAGCGCCTTCTCTGCTAACTAAAGAATGTTCCAGTCAGCCCCAGAGCAACGCCCTGCCCATATGTCCAGCAGGGGACACAGCAGAGCTGGTCTGCTTGCTCCTGCGGAGCTGCCTGTCATGTCCATAGTGCACTGATGGGCTCATGCAATGTGGATCCTCCCGCCTTTCACTGAACACTACACTTTCAAGGCTTGTTCGCGGCATGTAACTATTTCTTCTTGCGGTTGGAATGTTCCTTTCTGTAGAATACCGTGTTCCACCCATTACAGCACAAAGAAGGAAATAGTGTTTTGCTGTTTGTTGATTGACCTCTTGAGGCAGTCTGGGGTTGTTCTGCCGTCAGCTGTGCTGCATGATGCATCAGCAGTGCTGGTTTCAGTCTGCCTCTGGGGTGCAGCGAGAGCAGAGTTGTTGAGTCACACACTGACACTGGCTCTGTGTCACTGTCCGTGATGATGGAGTGTCTGTCAGTGTATTTTATCATCTTAACTGTTTTGAGGAACTGTGAGACAGCTTTCCATGGCTGCACTATCACACAGGACTTTCCACACTTACAGCATGCCATTTCTCCCCGTTCTCATGGACTCCTAGCCATCTGCCTCACCCTGCTTTTCATGTGTGTTTCCCTAAGCACAGGTGGAGGAGCCATTTCTGCCAAAGGTCATTTGGAAATTTGTAATATCATTCACCAGTGACACAGGAATATCATCCTTAAAAAATGGCCTATTGTAATTTATTAAATTTTAGGTTCCACCTGTGGTTATCCTGGCAGGACCAGAGCAGACGGCTAAAGGGTGTTTCATGGGCAGGACTGGACGTTCCCCACCTCTCCCCAGTGAGTACTAGTGATGGTGGGCGCCTTTGCCTGCCCTTTCTAAAGTGTCTCTCTAGAAGAACACAAAGTCTTGTTCAGGAAGGAAGAGTGCCTCAATTGCCTGGCTAACTCTTGAGCTCTCCTGCCATCTTTGTGGCTTTCAGGAGTAAGTGCCATGTGATTCACAATGGGTGTTGGTGCAGAGATCTCACACACACACACACACATATAGTATTGGATAAAGAGTATAGGTACAGCAGTGTCAAGGGCAAATGTGTAGCACTAAATTCTTGGAAGCCAGAATAACACATGAGAAATAAGAGAAAATAGCTGGGCAAGATGGTGGATTAGGGTAGAGACACATTTGGTGTGATGGAGAATCTAGACAAGGTGAAGTACAAGCAGCAGATTACAGGGGAAAATCGGGGTCAGGCAGTAAGCAAGGGGCACCTGGAGACTCCCTGGACACAAGGAAGCGGCAGCGATAGCAGAGCAGTGTTGCAGTGGACAGAAAAACCCACCAACAATCCGCGAGCAGCAATCCAGACTCTGGCAGCGATCCGGGCTCTCAGAATTGGAAGATATTTCCTGTCACCAGAGAAACAAACAAAAAGCTGGAAACAGAGCTAGGACAAGGTAAATAAAAGTATCCAAGAATTGGGCCCGGCGCGGTGGCGCAAGTGGTTAAAGGTCCTCGCCTTGCACACCCGGGATCCCATATGGGCGCCGGTTCTAATCCCGGCAGCCCCGCTTCCCTTCCAGCTCCCTGCCTGTGGCCTGGGAAAGCAGTCGAGGACGGCCCAAAGCTTTGGGAACCTGCACCCGCGTGGGAGACCCAGAAGAGGCTCCTGGCTTCGGATCGGCGTAGTATCGACCCGTTGCGCTCACTTGGGGAGTGAATCATCGGATGGAAGATCTTCCTCTCTGTCTCTCCTCTCTGTACATCCGCCTTTCCAATAACAAAATAATAAAAATAAAATCTTTAAAAAAAAAAAAAGTATCCAAGAATTAAAAGATATGATAAAAGGCCCAACATAAGAATTATGGGAGTTCCAGAAGGCAGAGAAAGAGAAGTTGGGATTAAAGGTGTATTAAATAAAATAATAAATGAAAACTTCCCTAATCTGGAGAAAGAATTGGAAAACAATATACAGGAGGGGCATAGAAGTCCCAACAGCATTGAACAAAAATGAACTTCACCACGACACATGATAATCAAGCTCTTTTCAGTTGAACAACAACCACCACAACAACAAATCCTTAAATGTACACGTGAAAAAAATCGAGTGACAGATACAGAAACCCCAATCAAACTAACAGCTGACCTCTCAGAGGAAACACTACAGGCCGGGAGAGAATGGACTTATTCCAGATTCTAATAGAGAAAAATTTTCAGCCCAGAATAATGTATCTTGCAAAGCTCTCCTTTGTCTTTGAAAATGAAATAAAATTCTCCCACAATAAAGAAAAACTTCAAGAATTTGCCTCATCTAAACCTGCCCTACAAAAGATACTCAATAATATTCCCCTGAAAGAAAAAAGGAATAGCAGCTACCAAAACCAAAGGCAAATGTGGAGAACACCCCACTAAAAGGCTAACAGAAGACTCAACCAAAGAACAACACATCGCCAAAATGACAGGACCAAATACCCCTCATCTATAATAACTCTGAATGTAAATGGCTGAAACTCATCAATCAAACGCCATAGATTAGAGGACTGGATCAAAAAAACAAAACCCAGCTGTCTGCTGCATACAGGAGACACATCTCACCAACAAAGATCAGAGGATACAAAGTGAAAGGAGGGGGAAGATATTCCGGTTAGATTCGCTGCTGGCCAAAATGTTAGATTTGCCAACCAGCAGGGAAAATAATAACTCCGCCAAATATATGTAAAGAATTGAGATGGCCTTTGTTTCAGGGAACCACGGTCACGGGCTTCCCTTCCCCACGCAGCAGAAAGGACAGACGTGAAGGAGTGGGCTGCAGAGGAAGAAGAGCGCCGAAGAGACTGGGAAGACGCCCTTTTAGACTCTCCTTGACACGGAAGCCGAGACGGGGCTCGCCTTGGCCCTTATTGGTGGGGGGATATGGGTCTGTGTCCCTCATTGGTGCAATGGTGGTCTCACTGCCTGAGGGGCCCGCCAGAATTCCACCATCTGTTCCAGGTTGGGTTGGAGAAAACTCCACCCTCACCGTGGTAGCCATCAATTCCAAGTGAATGGAAAGGAAAAATATGCAGGTTTAGCCATTGTTATGTCGGATGATATGGACTTTGATGTGAAGAACATCAAAAGAGATGAAGAAGGACACCACATAATGATCAAAGGATCCATTCAGCAAGTGCCAAGACATCTACCTACATGAAACAAATATTAATGGGTTTGAAGGGAGAAATAGATTCCAACACATCAACGGACAGATTAAAAAAAAAAGAAAAAAAGAAACTCAGCAAAGAAACAGCAGAACTCACCCAAACTCTGGAGTAAATGGACTTAGTTGACATCTACTGAACCTTTCATCCTAGAGAGAGAGAACACTTTTTTTTCGTCAGCACATGAAGCCTTCTCTAGAATCGACCATGTTACAAACCTCAGCAAATTTTA